CGATGTGGTGGCCGACGCTCTGTCTTGGTCATTATTGGGCATACTTCGGTCAGAGGTGTCATGGGGTCAATGTTAGGGCAGTGGAGGTGGTCGCCTGGTCCAACGGTCTGATGAAGCTGGTCCGTGGGTCGCCCTATGAGGCGGCGTGGGGCCCACTCCAGTATGGTGGGAGTGATCGGGACGGATGGGGACGTTTCCTTGTAGGTTCCGGGAGTGGACTGCTCATCTACATGTTTGGTACCGTCTGTTGAGGGCGGTAGGGGTGATTTCTGTGATTGGCAGGGCTCGGCTTCCTGTTCAGGTTACAGTTGTCGGCAAGTGGTGGGGTGTTTTGGTGGACGGACTTATTTCAGGTTTCGCCGCTCGACTGCTGTTGTCGTTGGGACGGGTAAGTCAGTTGCGGTGTGGCTGATGCGTCGATGGAATCTGTGCGATTCTTGGATGTTTAGGGGTCGACGTGCCCTGGTTTTTCCGCTTTCTCCTAAGGTAGATGGAATGCACGGGGTAATGGTTGGGCTCCTAACACGGTGTAACGGGTTCCCAGGATGGCCTGACAAATTCCGTTCTGATCGGAGGCACTGCAGGTTTCCATCAATTGCCGGAAAGTTGGTGGGGTGTTCGAGGGGCATTTATTCTGGTTTGGGATGGCTACGGTCGCCGCCAGGCTTGGCGTGCCTGCGCCAATGGTTCAGGGGCTCGAATTTTGGGAGTCAGGGTGGTGGTTCCTTCAGGTTCACCCTGCTGGTCTCCAAATGGATTTCTCACCGCGGTTATGGTCCCCCCCCCCCAGAAAGGGAGGTTCGGTGGTCTGGCACCAGTTACATGGTGGGGGTGTGGTCCTCCTCGTACGGGGTCGGCTGTCCCGCCTCTTGGACGTACCAGGGGGTTTTTGTCATCTCTGGGTGGATTGATATGGGTTCGGTGTTGTATGGGGTGCTCTTCAATCTGAGGGTGCTCTGGAATCTGGACATGTTACACATTCTGTTTCTGTTTCTTGCCAGAGGTTCTCAGGGGGCCGGGCTGAGGCTATCACCTGTTCCTGTTGGCAGTGCGCTCAGCAATGTGAGTGCCCTGGTGCGCTGCAGTCGGGAATCGGTCGAGGTGGGTTTCTTGTTTTGGCTTGGGGGATTCCAGTTCACCTTGGGGTGTGGCCGGATGTGGCCTAGTTATCTCGAGGGGATGGGTGCGCTTGCTGGAGGTCGGATGAGGCCTATGTTGATGGTGCACTGAGGACGACTCCGGCTGGAGATGAAACGCGATTGCTGCTATATCAAAGGATTGTATCTGGTATTTTTTCTTGTTTCCTCTGCGGTGTTTTATTTAGGCTTTGTGCCTAGTATATTTTACTATTTATACACTGCATATTGTCCCAGTTTTAATTGTTTATTTGTGCAATAAATTTTGGAGTCTGCACTTTGTATCCTGTGCTGCTCTCCTCAAGGATATCGTTTAGCCTTTTTAGGCACCCTCCTGCACATTATGTAGAGCCTGGAACGGCTTTAAATCCTGTGAGTTTTACGCTACATAAGGAGTCTAACATTATGTATATGTATGTGTATATATGTATGTATATATTTTGCGCTATGTTGTGTTATTGGATTGATCACGAATGGTCATTTAATTTCCTGGTGCAGTACTTATTCTATGTTGATCTGGCACTGCTAGCAGTGGTGGAACAGGCCATGGCTGGTTGTGGTGGGGTCCCCCGCTGATTTTAGGTGTAAAACAGCGTGGTTGTGGCGGGGGTATGTCCTTGCCAATTGAGGTTGAGGGGTTACGTTTAAGTATATGGAATGAGATGAACAAGTTTTTAAGGTCTCAACCTCCCCTGCTTCAAAAGGTTAACATTAGGTTGCCTGAGGTGTCGTGCCCATCGAGCGTGGATAAGGTCGGCTGATGGCGGGCATTGGAAAGATATGATTTTTATGACGAGGGGGGAGGTGAGAGGAAATGGTGATTAGGAACCACTGTATGTTTATTGGCAAGGACGGTTGGGTCACTGTATAACACTATGTGTGGAGTTATATATGTATATATGTTAACTTATGCTTATTTATGTCTAACGTTTTGGTTACAGAAAAAGAAGAGATTTAATAAATAAAGTTATGGATGTGTTATGCAGTAATTTAGTTTGTGATAATAAATGCTGTGGTCTGTCATTATTGGGGGGTTGAATGGGGTTAGTTTTGTTATAGGCTGCATCGCAATTCCCCACTACGTACATACATGGTTAACCGCAACGTTCTAATTGGGATCAATAGGTTAACCAGCAGCACACTTCTCTTCTGGGTGGCCGTCCGTTCGGTAGTTCCGTTCGAAAAAAACCGACATTCCCTTAAACAAAGCATACGAACGGGGAAATTCATGAAAACGGCAAAACAGACGAACACAGTACTTTTAATCCAGACAGATGGGTCTGTCACAATCAGCTAGTCAGATCATTACCTACTATAGTATAAGGTAGGTAAAATCCAAAGGCTGCTGAAATGTTAATCTACTATAGGTTCTGTAACAAATAAAGTGCAGAACCAATACATATATATATTGTTACGATGAAATTCCTTGAAGGATTCCTGTATCTATTATTTATTTATTTCAATAAACATTTATCACTTTTTTTTTTTTATAAAAAAACCCAATGGGCCGGGTAAGCGAACATCAGAGACGTTTGATGCCACAGTTTAGAAATGTTCCTTTTTGGGGCAAGAAGGTCTTGCTGGTACATGAGAACTATGCCAACATTGCAAGGTGGTCCAAGTTGCAACCTTGGAGAGCTGCTGCATAGACGCCCAATGCCAAAACACCAAGAGGTTTCCACTGACCTATAACAGTAGTTCCCAACCCAGTCCACCACAGGCACACCAACAGTGTAAAGATTTTGGCTTCTCCAAATTCTATTGCAAAACCTGGAGCGTTGGCGTACCTTGAATTCAAGATCAGTGTCCAGGAACAATGGTCCACAATTAAGTTCGGTTTATTTTCTTCATCCTTTTGGCTAAACCAACTGTAAAGGCTCTAAAACCCTTTCTAGACACTTGAAAATTTATAATGGAACAAAACAAGCACCATATTTGCCAGGTGTGCCCTGGCACCACCCCTCCATTGTAATTGACTTTTTACCTGGGGTATGATGGGCGCTGCTCCCCACCTCCACTACTTTGGACAAAGAGCCGGAAGCAACCTGTCTGAGCATAAGCCTGGCAGTGCAGGGCTTAGCGTTACCCAGTGGACCCCATGTAAGAAGTCAAACCAATCTAAAACAGTTTGACTACATACAATGGGTTGTTCAGGGAGCAGAAGCACTAGAACACTGGGCTTGTAGCATTCCTTTAAAATAAAGAATCTTTTGCACCAATCTGTATGGTGGCTTAAAGGGAGAATGTCAATGTTGTGTTAAAATGTCTTGTGCTTTGTAGGCTAAGAACAGAAGGTATCACCAGTGGTGGAACTACCGGTAGTGCACCAGGGCCTACCTACTGAGGGGACCCAACAGGTGGCTCATGCACTTAAGGCAGTGGGCATGTGTCAGCAGGGGCCTGGTTGCTTGATGTGGCCCTGTGGCAAACCTAGCCACTTTAGATTGTGCGGTTATATGTTTAAAGGTTGTCCTAGAAAGCTGGTCCAATTCTGTTAGGTTCTATATTTACTTGTAACTGTAATAGAGATCATTACAAAAGCCGCTAGCATTCACATGGTAGTTTCACGAACAGTGACTTTCCACACTGTTCGTGAAACTAATAAAGTACCGAATGAGAGCCCACACACAGGGGGTCGTGTGGCTCCCATTAACCGATTTCAACATTGTAGCAATCGGCTGCTAATTGATTTCCCGGGTGGCAGTCGTTCGGCTACCCAACCACGAGGAGGCGGCCATCTTGGATTTCCCTTTTGCCCCGCAGTGTTTGGTCGTCGAGGGCCTGGAACTAAAATCGGCTACTCGACGGCACGAACACCGCTGGACTCCCAAGCCGTTTGGGAGCACCAGTCTTTCGGTACTTTTTCCCCAATGGTGTATTCGGGCAGCGTTTGGTTATTTATGCTGGGATCTGAGCGGTACCTTCACAAAGTGTGCGTTCAGACCCCAGCTATCTGCCGAACGGTCATTCGGTACAATAGCGCGACTAAAATACAAGTTACTGATTTTTGTGTGAAAAGCCAGTTCTGGTGTACGGAGGGATAATCCACTTAACAGGATATTCTCATGGGAGTATCCCTCTCGTACAGCGGTGCATGGTGGGAGAAATGTCCTACATATTCAGTTCCCCATGTAGTCCCCTACTGTACAACCCCTGTAAAGTAATTAAGGAAACCCCTTGCATGGGGAATCACATAAATACTGGAGCTTGTGAATAAAATCGGCAGTTGACTCCCAGAACTGTGTTTCGTCCAGTTACTGGGGGATTTGGGATATTGCATTCATTTTCAGCGCTGTACTTGGATTGCTTTTTGTACCAGCGGAAATATTGTGATTTAACATTGCAGCTCCGCTACAGGACCTTTAATAGCACGACTGGGCCCCTTTCCTATCGGCAGCGCTGGGAGGAAGTGACAGCTGGTATTCCACATGTTATCTCCACACAAGATCCCAGTGAGGCTCAGGAACAAGTATTAAAAATCTATAAGGCAATAATTCCAGCAGGCAAGACAATCCAATAATATCCCAACATCAATCCCAATGACTGGACGACACACAGCATCAGGAGCGGAACTGAACTTTTAATCCACACAACCTTCTTTTAAAGCTTTCTCCCATGCAAGGGAGGGATTCACATTAATTAGTACACTATCCAATATTGTAACCGTTACCTCCCACACATCTCCTCCCCTCAGTGTGACACATAATCTACTTATACATACTGTAGTTTTACCTTATTTCTGGATGTACCCCAAAACAGTCAGCGAGAATTACTGGGTACCCCCTTATCTGGGTGGCTAAAATATTCAAAATTCACCCAGATCGGACCAGAGGTTCGGGAGTTAGATTGTGAAATTTTGGCCTTGTGGTCGGTTTCCGTTCGGGAGTTAAAATACATAGAAATACTTGCCATCCACAGCTAATCTTACATTCAGATTATTTCCCTTGTTCAGGACATTTATTTTACTGAACAAGGGGCTGGTTGGCCACTCCGTTCATGAGTTACGGAGCTCTGGAGGTCTCAGCGGTGTTCGGGTGTTTGAGTGTCCGATTTGAGTTCCAGACACTTGACGACCAAACACCGCTGAGATTTTCTTGCGTAAGATGGCTGCCGCCACGCGGTTCGTATGCCGAACGGCGACCACACAGATACAAAGTAACAATTTCACGGTCAATTAGTTTGCGGTTACAGAGTGTGAAAGCTTAATGAGGTGCACACTTCTCGCTGGGGTGGTCTGATGGTTCGGTATTTTCATTCGTATGAAAAACGGAATGAAAACTACCTAACAATTAGACGAAAGCTACATACAATACTGCTATACATGGCCATAATTACACAAAATACATTTTTAACACAAATTCTTGAGGACAGCCCAATGCCATCCGCTACAGTCACTTCCTCCCACAGAGACTGGAGCCACGCGGGATAAAGGAGGAGAAGGCAGAGATGAGTGGAGCTGGGCGAGCAAACCCTTAACTCCCAACTATCCCAGCTGATGCACTGCACCCAAGGGCTAACCGCGGGGTGGCTATAAATTTACATTTTGACCAGCTTATGTGCATCTGTGAGTCTTTACATCTGCATAGGTGTCACTGTGTGTTTCTGTGCATCTGCATGTGTATCTGTTTGTGTGGCAGTGCATGAATGCTGATCTGTATGCACATATAAACAAATGCCAACACTACACACAAATATACCTCTGCATTCAAATGTCAACACTATTACAAACACACCCCTACATTAACACAAACACTGCTCGGTGCTAAATACAATTCAGCAAGGATGGTAACCTGGTAGATAGAGCCCCAGTTGGCAAAACATTGTGGGAGTTGTACAACAGATGGAAATCTAAGTTTTGGTCACACTTGAGATAGGAGGGGTCCGAAAGAATTCCTGCACCAGGGCACTCTCTGTGATAACCAGTGATAGAACTAATATCTACTGGTTTAAGCTTTTTAGGATGGAGGTAGTACGATATTTGAAGAATGAGCACATCACGAAAAAGCACCAGAATAGGTGATGTATATGTAACGGATCGCCTGGCACCCCGACTGGGTACCTCCGTTAAAGGATGCTCCTAGCGCTTCCTGAGGACTCCAAGCACTGCAGCCGACACCACAATCACCGAACCAGAGAAGCGTATACTTTCTCTCAAGCATATGAATGCTGTAGACAGTTGAATAGGAACCATACGAATAGGTTTACTCTCCTAGCAGTCAAACTGGAACAGCATACAATAAATCCTTCCCCCAATAATGAGACTACACTTCACTTTGAGGGTTAAAACAGGAACTCAGGTGCTGGCACACCCAGCCTGGTTTTTATTACAGTCTTGCAAATACAGGACCGCCCACAGGGAGGTATAAAACAACCAATCACATCA